GTCATCTTCGCATGCAGTCGGCCATCACTTCCCATATTCGCTAATATCTAAACCGCTGTATACATAGAGACGTTCTATAATGATCAGCAATGAAATTACATATTAGAGCTGATTTGCGGATTAGTGCTTTGTAGTTAGTTTTTGAGCAGGTTATTGCTAACCTCTCAGAACTGATGCGGCGTTTATCCATGTACAGCCAGTGCTATAGTTTTTTGCAGCCGTGACTTCCTTAGCGAGTCCCCTAGACTCTCAGTTGGTGAGCCAGCTTCGATGTCCACTTATCATTTCAGGTCGCGGAGACAGTTGTATTAAGTCATTTTGACTTTCCCTAGGATTTTATGCTGGACAGTAGAGCAACTAGCAGCTTTTTTCTGCTTTCCCGGCGCAGCTTTAAATTCTCTGTCTGGATAAGCAGCAGACCAAGACTTTCGCGGATATCCGAAGTACGATTCATTCGAGACAGGAGTCCAGCAATTTGTGTCAGAAAGATCACTTCATTTGCTTGTACCCGGGATCTCAGTTTTCCAGTTATAGTCAATGACTCTTGACCATAAAGCATGAGGATGGAAATCGACTTAAGCACAAAGAGATTAGTCTTGACACTCATTTCTGCCTTAATCGTAACGTATCACGAGTGACAACCATGATGTGCCGGTCGATTTCTTCCTCCTATTGTCCATCGTTAGTAAACACGACTTCAAACTACGCGTATTTTGCTTGTTCCACAGTTCCTCCGTTTATCTACAGTTGTAGCAAGCAGGGGTTTGAGAAAGTGCTAATGCTTTTTACGTAGATATGTTCATACATTAATCGGTCATATCGCACTCAGCTGGTAAACTTTCTAGAGAGCGCTAGAGATCAGTTTTAGAAGATGCCAGCACAACAAGGTCTTCTGCAAACAGTTATCTTTTCATCTAGATACCTTTTATGCTGATACACTCATCGCCCTGGCTGCACGTGACTGTTCAATCCATTTACAACAGAAACAGGAGAGGGACCATAATGCAGCCTTGGCAGAGATCAGAGCCAAAGCTGAGAGGTTTCGAATTACATTTACTTTGACGCAGCACTTGCTATCACGATATAGTGATTGGATTGCCAGTGGCGACTGACCATCGATCCCATGTGTTGGTAGGCATGCCCACAGACTCTATCGCGGGATCCGGTCATTGGCTTTCTCCAGGTCAACGAAGCACTTATTTACGGGATAGGCAAATTTCCACGATTTTTCTACAATCTGGCGTAAGGCGAACACCTGGTCAGGGGTTCTTCAGCCTGACGTGAGGCGACCCTGCTATTCTTACATATTAAAGTAAATTTTTCCCGTGATTTCTAACATATTTGCGTACGTTTTTCCCTTGAGGCTCAGTAAGATAATGGCTAGATAATTGGAGCACTGCCTATGATCTGTGATCTCCGTTCTTGAACATGGGTACTGCAATATCGTTTCTTAGGTCTACTTATTTCTTCCCTATAGTCATTCCCGCCTAACAGCACATGCTAGTCGGAACAATGCTTGTTTGCCTAAAGCGTTAACCATCTCGACGCAAATCGAATATTATATACATATTTTCCCCATGAAAATCTGAAACTAGGTCTCCGTCGCTCTTTTTCTCACACCCTACATGGTTGCAATGCAGTCACCAGCGTTGCTGGCCAATTAGCATGGCAACATTTGTTTGGCTGAATCTGTTGCTCCGCAAATATGGACTTAACGTCAATAGTGTTTGTTATTTGTCTTAATTAGCATTTAATCTATAATTTTAAAAATAATGAGATGAATCAAGCTAAGCAGTTTGACAGCTTCTTTTAACAGATTACCTTTACGGGGAAGCCGCTCATCAAAACCGGTTCTGTTTCTTTGCCAAGAGTAAACTTTACGGTCTGTTTTTCTTCTCCTTTTTCGGCCTTCACCTCCCAATCGTTGCCTTTTACATTCACATCAATCACTGTCTTGGTTGACGTGGTTTTCTTGATCTGTTCTGGAGTGAAACCTAAACTCAACGTTATTTGCATATATTTGTTATACGATTAGTACGCTTAATTATTACACTGTTAATCAATTATACAATACACATTAAAAAGAAATTTCTTGTTTGGAGTGTCAACGGTTTTAATATATTATGTTTGCCGATATTGTTGATAGTTTCCCATTTTTCACATACGTGATTGTTTTATCGTCAACTTCCACGCATTACACACTCTGCACGTAGAGCTTCAGACTATTGATTATGATAATCAAAGCAGCTTGATGCGTAACTGAAATTCTGAATTTAATGTTTGCTGACAGGCTTCATTTCAGACGGCAGCTTCGGCCGATGGTGACGCGTACCGCAGGAGATTTACAGCTATGGTCAGGTATACC